CCTGGAAGATGAAATCAGACGTCTCAATGAGAAAATGAACATTCTGATCAGCACATCAGGCTCTTCGAGAGAGGAAACTACCCTGATTTCGAACAGAGATGCCTTACAGAGGGAGAGGGACAACCTCACAAGGGAGCTCAGGACGCTGGAGACCACGAGACACGACATCAGCCTGTCTTTCAAGCAGCAGAGCAGGCTAGTGAGTGAGAGAACACAGCTGAGCAGGGACAGGAGTCTTAAGATGGAGTCTGAAACGCACCGTCTGGAGAGGGAGATCCTGGATGAAAAAGACAAGATCCATCTGCGAGACAGCACCATCCGGGAGCTTCTGATGACCCTGCAGAAAGAGGAGCAGGCAGAGACAAGGACCAAAGAGACCAATGTCTCCACTAAAATCACCATTCTGGATCCAGATACAGGCAAAGACATGTCTCCTTATGATGCCTTCCTGCAGGGCATGATTGATCGTCAACAGTACATTCACCTGCAGGAGCTGGAGTGTGACTGGGAGGAGATTACTTCCTTGGGACCTGATGGGGAGACATCTGTACTGCAGGATCGCAAGAGTGGAAAGCAGTACCCCATCAAAGATGCCCTGAAGGCAGGCAGGCTGACGGAGTATAACCTACAACAATACAAACAAGGCAAGATTCCCATATCAGAGTTTGCCTTGCTGGTTGCAGGTGACAATAAAAAGCTACCCCAGTTGAACTCAATCATCCCAAAGTCCACCACAACAGTGAATTCTGCCCCCCCAGACCTCTCCACTGCTAAAGAAATCTACCCAGTTGCTGGGATAATGGATACAAACACCAACACCTGCTATACAATACGCAGCGCCACCATGCGTAAACTGATCGACCCAACCACTGCCCAAAAACTGCTAGAAGCACAGGCATCAACAGGAGGCATCATTGACATCAACAGCAAAGAGAGATACACAGTTCACAAGGCAGCAATGAAAGGCCTCATTGAAGACAGTCAAATCCAGAGACTACAAAATGCACAAAGGGCCTTCACTGGTGTTGAAGACCCCATGACCAGAGAGTGTTTGTCTGTAGGAGAAGCTGCTCAGAAAGGCTGGATGCCAAAGGACACCGCCTTACGCTACATGGAGACACAGCACCTGACTGGAGGGCTGGTCAATCCCAACACTGGCCGTAGAGTAAGCATCATGGATGCCATTGGGACCAAAATGATTGACAGCACAATACTGAGGGAGCTGCAGGCCGAGTCGACCTACATCAAAGATATTGTAGACCCAATCACAAAGGAGAAGATCAGCTACAAACAAGCTCTGGATCGCTGCCAGAAAGACCCAATGTCAGGCTTACCAATGCTGCCTGCGTCATCCAAAGAGGCTGGTCAAACTCCAGTGTACAACTCTTCTAAATATGCAAGATTCTAGATATGTTTACAAACTACTTGGAGTTATCGGTCTGTATGTCTGTGGAGTGATGTGGTTATAATGTACTATTAGATTATGGTAAATCCATATGAAATGCTTACATTAATTACAATGTACATTTTGACTCAGGAAAAGTCTTCTACTGCAAAACTATCTGTCTTGCCAAAATGGTTGCTGCTGAGCTGCCTTTGTTTATCAAACATGTTTGATGTTGGCAGATTTTTTTTGATTTAATTTAAAAAAAGAGAATATAGTTTATCTTTGATATTATTGTGTTATAAGGGATACTGGGACATGGTGCAATGCTATTTACCAAGATTGATTTGATTCTGTATTACTCATGGGCTATCCTTGACACTGTTCACTTTAAACTCAATCTTGTTTGATACTTTAATACAAATATCAATAAATTTAAATTATAATGGTTAAAGAGCATGAACTCCCTTTCAGTGCTGTTTAGTCTTTTTAAACAAAACACATTTTCAACATTTACTTTCAAGAAAGTCATACCAGTTTAGACCTTACTTTAGGTCAAGGTCAAAGTTTATTTATATAGCATGTTTACAAACAGTCACTACTGCCCCAAAGTGCTGTACAGATACAGAGAACAGCATACGATAAAAAGCATAATAAATAGCCGAATAAAACCCTTCTAAAACAGAATATGCCAAAAACAGACAACAGATAAAAACTATATTTAAAGCAATAACAACAATAAAATGTCACAGCTCAGCATGTGTTAAAAGCCAGTGCAAAAAGATGTGTTTTTAAAAGTGATTTAAAGCTCTCAATAGAGGTAGCTGCTCTAATGTTGAGAGGAAGAGAGTTCCAGAGCTTAGGACCTGCTACTGAAAAAGCTCTGTCCCCTCTGGTTTTCAGTCTGGACCTTGGACAGTCTAAAAGCAACTGGTCAGTAGACCTAAGTGCTCTGACTGGAGTGTGCAAAATAAGCATATCAGATAAATACGATGGTGCCTGAAGACTGATCAAGGTCACAGTACAATGAGTTACAATAGTACAGGTGATTTGTGATCAGGGAATGCACTACTTTTTCCAGTTGGCTAGGGGGCAGGTAAGGCTTGACCTTCCCAAGAAGTCTGAGCTGAAAGAAGTTTGTTTTTACCACTGAGCTAATCTGTTTATCGAGTTTAAAAGATCTGTCAATAAAAACACCAAGACTTTTTACAAATGGGCAGCAGTTTGAGGATATTGGGCCAAGAGCACTGTTAAAACCAAAGACATCGGGCTCCCCAAAAATTACAACTTCAGTTTTTTTGTCATTTAAGTTAAAAAAATTCAGTGACATCCAGTCTTTTACTTCATGTAGACATTTTCTCAGTGCTTCAACTGAGTTTGTTTTGGTATTCAAAGGTAGGTAAATTTGGACGTCATCTGCAAAGCAGTGAAAGGAAATGTATTTTTGGAAGATTGATCCCAGGGGCAGCATATACAGCGAGAACAAGACTGGGCCTAAAATTGAGCCTTAAGGCACCCTGCTGTCAATCGGGGCTTTGTTTGAGTAAAAAGGCCCGAGATTTACAGAAAAAGACCTGTCTGTCAGATATGACTGAAACCACTTCAGAGCTGTGCCTTTAATGCCTGCACAGGACTCGAGTCTGGACAATAAAATCTTGTGGTCAACCGTATCGAACGCTGCAGTCAAATCTAAAAGAACTAGCACAGCAGAGCTACCAGAATCAGAAATTAAAAGAAGATCATTAAAAACTTTTAAAAGAGCAGTTTCTGTACTGTGACAAGATTTAAAACCAGACTGGAATTTTTCAAAGATGTTGTTTGAATTAAGGTGCAATTGAAGTTGGGCATATACCACTTTTTCTAGAACTTTAGATAAAAAAGGAAGCTTAGAAACTGGCCTGTAGTTGGACAAAGCAGAGGGGTCCAAATTGTGCTTTTTCAGGAGGCCTTTCTGTGTGGAGTTTGCATGTTCTCCCCGTGTCTGCATGGGTTCTCTCAGGGTGCTCCGGCTTCCTCCCACCGTCCAAAGACATGCGGACTAGGTTAATTGGTGACCCTAAATTGTCCTTAAATGTGAGCGTGAGTGGTTGTTCGTCTATGTGTGGCACTGCGATGGACTGGCGACCTATCCAGGGTGCACCCCGTCTTTAGCCCGATGCAAGCTGGGATTGGCTCCAGCCCCCCTGTATGCAGGATAAGCGGTTGACGATGGATGGATGTTTATCAAATTTAAAATACAAGGCCCAACAGAGTCAAAAACATCTTTAAAAAGCTTGGCTGGAAGGCTGTCTAATGAGGAGACTGAGGGTCTTAAATTTTGGACCGTCTTTGACAAGTCAGACAAAGGTATTGACAAAAAATCTTCAAAAACAGCTGAACATAAAGGTATAATACTGGGATCTGGCGCAACACAAAGGGTTAAGGCCCGGATAATGGACATCTTATCAGTGAAGAATTTACACAATCTGTCACACAGAAGGGCACTAGGAATAATGCCAGGATGTTCAGGGGGATTGATTATCCTATTTAAAACATTAAAAAGGACATGAGCTTAGTGACAGTTGTTTTGCACAAGGTTTGACATATACTGAGTCTTTGCAGCTTTGACAGCGTACTGGTAGTTAGACAAACAGTCTCTTAAAATCCCCAGAGACACATGAAGTTTGTCTTTTTTCCATTTACTCTCAGCATGGCGACATTTCCTTCTGAAAGCACGAGTAGTGTCATTGTGCCATGGCTCTCCATTTGAGTTTGAGCTCCTGTGCATAAACAGTGCTATTGAGTCAAGGATTTCTATGCACGTGGAGTCAACTCCAACTCAGCTCATCAATGTCCAAATTTGAAAAGGAGGCATCCAGGGACATTAAAGGAGAGGTGTCGAACGCTGCAGCTAAAAGGGAAGCTGTAGATGGATTAATTGCGCGCCGCTGACGCATGGGAATGCACGCTTTGCTTTGAGGGCACGGCAAAGAAACAGAAAACAAGACAGGCATGTGGTCAGAAATACCTGCATCAGAAATGTCCTTTATGGACAGATTTAGGCCATGGGACAAGACCAGGTCCAAAAAATGTCCCTTGTTATGGGTCGGGCAGTTCACAGACTGAGTAAGGTTAAAACAATCTAAAATGTTTAAAAAAAGTCCTTGACCAAAGGCTTAGAAGAAACACAAAAAACGTGAATATTAAAATCATCAACAATTACAAAATGATCATAATTAAGAGCAATGTCTGCCACGAACGCCGAAAAGTCCTTAATAAAATCCTTGTTAAATTTAGGAGGGCGGTAAATGAGCGCGCATAACACTGTTAAGTAAGGTTAATTTCGAAGAGTTGCAGCTCAAAGCTCTTGTATTGTTCACATGGGGTTTTTCTACAGTCAAGACTGGTTTTAAAAACTGTCGCTAGCCCTCCGCCTTTTCCCGTGGTTCGAGGAGAGCTAAAGAAAGAGCATGCCGGAGGAAGAAGCTCTGAGAAGGGGAAGCACTCACCGGGTTGAAGCCACGTCTCCAAAAGAAGCATGCAGTCAAGCTCCCGGGACAAAAAGAGGTCATTTAACATAAGTCTTGTTAGTCAAGGATCTAACATTGATCAGTGCCAACTGAAGAACAGTATCCTCCGTGCGCGAAGATTTGGCTCGAGCCAGTGACCGGAGATTCATTGGATCCACGCCGCGCTTGGCTGCTCGAGGACGCCGGGGAACATAGGTACTCCTCCGCCGTTGCGTGCAGCTGGTCCACAGCGATGACAGCTCCGGGTTGGATCGGGAGAAGCCACCGCTTCCTGGAGTCCGGAGGAGAAAGGACAGCCGGTGAGGGACAGCCGCGTTGAAACCCCGGGCCATTTCTCCGTGTAGACCGCAGGTATGCTCTCTGTACATGAACATGCTGGTCATTAAACACTATATGTAATTTCAAAGGCATAGTAATCCTTTAATAAAGTGGTTCCCAACCTGAGGTCGGGATCGGGGTTTTTTTTTCTTCTCAGATACTGGATGCTTTCATCTCTTTAGGCCTCTAACAGTCTTTCAAATGAAAATGTAAGAGATCGGGCAGACACACATGGGCTGCAGTGGTTTTTATTGTCATCTAATAATTGGTCTACGAAATTTCAGAAGATAATGGCCATAACAATTTCCCAAACTACAAATAATCAGACATCCTCCTATTGTTGAATTTGTCTAACCAAGAGTCCAAAACCATGCCATTAAGGAAAAGACAGAAAAGCAGCCAATCTTCCTATTGGCCCAGCAGGAATTTAAAAAATATATGGCATTTATGTATGAAACATGACAGCAATCAACTATCAAAATTGTTCTTTGTGAATGGACTAACAGATTAATAAACGAATCATTTAAGCCTTAGTTCACATTAAGAAGGATCACAAGCTAAAAGGTTGGGAACCAGTAAGATTTTTATTCTGCTAGTGGAGCTTCAGTGCAAGTCCTTGCCTATATAATAGTCCAGGCTACACCTAGCTGCTAAATTGTATCTAATAAATATCTTTTCAGCTGTCTGATCAGTAGTAAGTGTTTGATAGGAGTGTTTGAATTTTGAAACCCCATTTTAATGTGAGTGGAATATATCCATTCAGGTTTTTTTAAATCTATATTACGTGACCCATACATGACACATCTATTGTAACGATTTTAAAGCATTTGAAAGATATCAGACCACAAAGTTACATCGAGAATGTTAAGACTGGAAACTCCCACCATTAAAATTTGCAGCATTGAAAAACCTATTGTTATCAGACAGCTCAACATGGCTAACAAAATGTACCATATTCATGTCATGGCCCAAAGCATCTGCTAGTAATACTTTGTTGAACACACATGCAACCCTAATGTCAAGCCATTCATTTGGGGCTGTAATTATCAAATAGCAACCCCAGGACTGATACAGTGCCGAAAGCTGTTATGATCAGAGGTAGACATGATAGTCATTTAGTCAGTACATCTATGTCTTTTACACTTTTCACACAACAGCACTCCAGTGAATCTTGGCAGCACTGGTAGTCCTGATACTCAATGAGCACCCTGGGAAACTTGATGAATGAAGACCCTAATCACGTTGTATGTGCAGGTTGTGCAGCATCACTCGGTGTACGCTCCCTCTCCCCAAAGAAGCTCCTTTGCTCATTGATGGCTTTCTGTAGAAGAGCAATGTTTACACCATCAACACAGTTTAGCACACGGGCACGGACCATCACGCCAACCCCTGTAAGACGAGAAGATACAGATAAAAGAAGGCGACAGAGGCAAAGAGTCCTGGATGTTTCTTAAATGGGTCCAGTGATTCAAGATTTAATTTAATTAATGTGGGTGAAATTGAGGCACACAAACAATGATATTAAAAAGGTAAGTTAAGTTCTATTTCAACTTGACAGCTTATAAAAATCTATTTATATACTAATCATATTCATATAATATATCATATACAATTTCACATCTGGTGATACTACTTTCAGATAGCCAGTCAATTTCTCGTTGATAAGTGGATCCAAGAATAATAGGAAACTGCTGTTTGAAATTCCAAATAAAGAAAGTCTTTCCTTACCCTGAGCATTTTCTACCTCACCCAGAACTAAGTACTGGGCCCCAATTATTGGGTTGAAGGGCTCCACAAACACGGTGTGGACGACCACGTGGTGCTCTTTTGAAGCATGCTGAGCTGACAGTGTAGCCCTGGACTCCTCAGGCTGATAGCAGACAAGTCTGAAAAATTGAACAGTTGGGTTTAATGTCTAAGTCAGCCTGGATGATACAGTTTAATCTTTTCTTTTTAAGGTGTATTATAATTATAACAAATGTAATTTTGTGTATTATAACATTATTTCTTTGAGTAATCACACTGGCACTGTTCTTCTTATGTGATGTCTTTGCATTAAACAGCCACATGGGCCAAAGACAAATTTCCACCAAGGTGGACAATAAAGTCGTATTCTAATTTATTCAACAACAACAAAAACAGCAGTCAACAATGATAATGTAGGAGGTGAAATGTAACAAGTGTCACAACCTTGGATTTGAGTGTGGTGTTTTTCTGTTATTTTGTTAAATGCCCTTTTTGTTTTACCCATTACCTCTGTGTTCTTGTTGGCTGAACACAGAGCTGAGCATTGATTGCTTCCTTGTTTTCTGTTGTATTTAGTTAATTATATGCTTGTGTATTGTCTGCAGCTTTACTTCCTGTTTTATTTTGTAATTTTGGTGATTGGTGTTTTTGTCTAGCTTTGTTTCCTGTCTATCTTGATTCCAAATGCGTCTCACTTGTGTTTAATTGCCCTGCCTGATTATGTGTGTGGTGTGCCTCTGTATATATTGCCCTCAGTTGTGTTCAGTCCTTGTGGGGTCATCGTTGATTGTGAGTGTTCTGTCTGAGCACTGGATTACTCTGTGTTTTTACACTGTACACTTGTGTTTGTACTCTCACCATGTACTCATACATAAGCCTGTTTTGTTGATCATAATAAACCTTTTTAACTGCATCTGTTGCACTCGGCCTTTGTGATACTAAGCATATGACTTATGATTTACACTCACCTAAAGGATTATTAGGAACACCATACTAATACTGTGTTTGACCCACTTTTGCCTTCAGAACTGCCTTAATTCTACGTTGCATTGATTCAACAAGGTGCTGAAAGCATTCTTTAGAAATGTTGGCCCATATTGATAGGATAGCATCTTGCAGTTGATGGAGATTTGTGGGATGCACATCCAGGGCACGAAGCTCCCGTTCCACCACATCCCAAAGATGCTCTATTGGGTTGAGATCTGATAACTGTGGGGGCCATTTTAGTACAGTGAACTCATTGTCATGTTCAAGAAACCAATTTGAAATGATTGAAGGGATGGACATGGTCAGAAACAATGCTCAGGTAGGCCGTGGCATTTAAACTATACCCAATTGGCACTAAGGGCCTAAAGTGTGCCAAGAAAACATCCCCCACACCATTACACCACCACCACCAGCCTGCACTGTGGTAACAAGGCATGATGGATCCATGTACCTCAGTTGTAACGAGTGGTTATTTCAGTCAAAGTTGCCCTTCTATCAGCTTGAATCAGTCGGCCCATTCTCCTCTGACCTCTAGCATCAACAAAGCATTTTCGCCCACAGGACTGCCGCATACTGGATGTCTTTCCCTTTTCACACCATTCTTTGTAAACCCTAGAAATGGTTGTGCGTGAAAATCCCAGTAACTGAGCAGATTGTGAAATACTCAGACCGGCCCGTCTGGCACCAACAACCATGCCACGCTCAAAATTGCTTAAATCACCTTTCTTTCCCATTCTGACATTCAGTTTGGAGTTCAGGAGATTGTCTTGACCAGGACCACACCCCTAAATGCATTGAAGCAACTGCCATGTGATTGGTTGATTAGATAATTGCATTAATGAGAAATTGAACAGGTGTTCCTAATAATCCTTTAGGTGAGTGTATGTGCTGTACTTTTAAAGAGTTATGAAGTCAGGAAACTGACTCAGAAATGTCAGTTCCACAACAGTTTCCATCTGAAACTTGCTAATATGAGCTAAAAATATGAGCTAACAAAGGCTACAATAAGCTTTCGGTCATACCAGACCAAGCAAGGCTGTATTAGCTAAAAACTTGAGTGTATTGAACAGATCAATATTGCATGTTATTGCTTATGAATTAAAGGTTTCATTTTTAAAAAGAAAACTGTGTTTTTCCTTCTTTAAGTTACATAGATTCACTTCAAGTGCAGCTTTGACAAATTTGAACTTTTATTTTCATTTTCTGCTATTTTATACTTCTCCACTCTATCTGACAGCTATCCTACTACTACTACGATTTTACATAAAACAAATCACCATTACAAGGTGCTGAAGAAATATTGCGAGCCAGGTTCAGGTGTGATGAAGAAGTTTCAGAGACTGATGAACACAGCATGGATTATTGAGCCCGGCCGAGGAGATACAGTGCCAGCATACAACATGTGAACACATTGAAATCTGAAGGATAACATCTTTTGGTCCCTTTTATGTTTCTGTCTTCCCTCTAGTTCCTGTAGGTTTCCCTTTTAGGTAATCTTTAGCTGGCCTTTAACCTAGAACAACAAATATATCTGATGTTTAGGCTCCAATGCTATGTCAAATTGGAATCTATTACTATCCATGAATTGTACTCAGATTCCCAGAGAACACAGATATCTGCTAGCCTGACGCCTGAGATACTGTCTCTACCTAATCAGTCTAACTGTTGCCTCCCTAACAAGGACAGTTACATGAAATGAAATAACTTGAGCTGGATGGTCAGTGAACTCTTGCAGGGTCAGCTAATGACTCCAAGCTAGACCTATCTTACTTTCCCGTGTTACATCGATCAAGCCCCCTAAGAATATTCATTACCACAAGGTAAATGCATTTGTTATTTTATAGGGTTTTTATAATGAGATGATGTTTGTAGTTCCCTTTATACTACTCACAAAGCAAACATTATAAACAAAAATTCTAAAATTATATATTGAAATAAAATATTTTGCACGGTGGAGTGCTGAGGATGAAGCTTCAACTGTTTCACAAAAACATATTTCTAGGTTTAGTTAGCTTTAGACACAAAAAAAAATCTTGGTTAGGGTTTGTTCATGAATCACACTTTACTGATGTTAAACATTTACAGATATATTTAAAATGGTATATATGTATGATTTATATAATGGCTTAAAAAATTTGAAAAAAAATTATGTAGTAATTATTTTGACAGATATATGATAATGATCATTTTTACATAATTATTCTCATTTTCATCAGTTATTATGGTGTTATGATGTGCTTTTTGCAAGGATTTGGACCAAACCAAGATGTTTTGTCTGTAGAATGAATGAGGTTTATGTATGTGTGTAGGCCAGGACCAGGGGCGTAGGTATAGACAGTGCAAACAGTGCAGCTGCACTGGGACCCGCACTGTACTAGGGGCCCTTGATGGGAGTTACGAGCTGGTCTTTGTCAGTTACAGGGTATAAATGCATAGAGTCTCATCAGTCAAAAGGAGACACCCATCTCATCTCAACCTAAATTTGAAATTTGTGATCAAGTGCTATATATACACTGATGTGCGCATGTCCCCCTTTGTCGTGGTGTCGAACACCATGGACTTTGTGAGTAAAATTACTGACTGCAGTCAGTAGTTTTACACACAAAAGTCTGTAGCAAGCAGTAGGCTATGGTACATGGTGAAATATCAAAAAATAGATTCCACAGATTCAACAGAATGAATTTAGTCTTATTTTCTTTGGTATTTGTGTCACATAGCTACATATACACTGATGATTGGTGGGTAATATGTAAATAACTGCCCAATCTTACGTTTCTATTTGATCATGTGACAATTGACGAGAAGACTCCAGAAATCGGGTGAAAGGCAAAATCTGAACAGTAGACTAACAGAGCACACGTGCAGGCTGGGAGTGTTGCCATTGAGTTTCAAGAAGAGAGAGGAGAGAAAGGAACAGGCTGAGAGGGTCGCAAAGCTCCTAAATAAGACTGTTTTGGATTACTGAGGACATTGTCAAAGATCTTGCTCAATGCAGGCTCGTCGGATGCCTATCAAATAGGTGAGTAACTTTACACGTGCTTTATCAGTGGATGTGGTGTGGCTGTTTTAAAGGCCGTTATCATTCCATGGTCAGCTCGCTGCTGAGTAGGTCTACCTGTTGTGTGAATTCTGTGGATGTGCGTGTGGGTATTAAACTGTGTGTGCGCTGTAGCTGGCCGGTTTTCAGGACATGGTGTTGTTTATGAGTTGGCCACTTTTCTTTCTTATTTACCATAATGTTTCGCCTCTCTGTCGAAGAAGAATGTGGTTGTCGTGATTCAGGAGGTTATTGTACTGAAGTTGCCCCGAAAAAGTCTGCGTCTTTTCAGCACTCCTGCTCTCAGCTGTTTGTAGTGACGGATTTTGACAATGACAGCACTGGCCATGCTCCTTTGACTTCTGTACTTTGCAAATACAAATGTCTAGGTGACACAGTCCAACTATAAAAACCATCAAATGATGGTACTTTACTTTAGACAGCAGCAGCGTGTGTGTGTGCGTGTGTGTGTGCGTGTGTGTGTGTGTGTTGGAGAGAGACACACACAAAGAAAACTGTTGAATTTACAGTTTTTCTCAATTGTTTACACACAAATTCTGGTACTTGAGACACAATGACCACAACATGTAACTCATTCACCAACCCCCTGAACCAATTCTGCTAAACTAAAAGCACAATTCCTGCTTTACACTCAAATTGCAGTTCTAAAACACACTTTTGTCACAACACTACACACAATTCTCTGCTTTTGGCACAAGTTTCATGCAGAAAATATCTTGTTTTCACAAGGAACACACTGCCATTCAAATATGCACACTGACTCATCACAAGGGCAAACACCCGTCACACAGTTTTCCAATTAGGAATCAGAGCTTTAGCATAAAAGGGCAACAGGTGAGCTCTTCAAGGGAGCAATGGATGCCAACATTGGAAACAGAGGCAGAGCCAGAGGAGCGAGAGTGAGAGGAGGAGGAGGGCGAGAGTGAGAGGAGGAGGAGGAGGACGACGAGGACGAACACCACCACCACCACCGTAATCTCTGATGAGATCCGAGCCACTTTGGTTGATCATGTGATCAACCATGGTCTAACAATGAGGGAGGCTGGGCAAAGAGTACAGCCAAATCTGAGCAGGTACACTGTAGCATCCATCATCTGGACTTTCCGAAATGAGAATAGGTAAGAAATCTACTCTCACTAGCAAATTGCAGTACTGCATATCAATACAGTACTCAATGAGTACAGTAGTACAGTATTGCCAATGGACTGTTCTGTAGGACTGTAAAAATACTGTAAAGTATGTTTCAAGTATTAAGGAAATGTATACCTACTTTGTATTTACAGTATTTGTTTGGCAGAACTGAAAGATTACCAACACAAGGTGGTCGGGAACGTCTTCTGTCTCCTGAACAGGAAACTTAAATCATAAACATGGTCCTAGAAAACAACGCCATAACATTACAGCAAATACAAAGAAAAATAACAGAAAACAATGACATATTTCAAAATATTGATAGGGTAAGCTTATCAACACTGGACCGTGTCTTGCGCAGAAATCATCTCAGGATGAATCAGGTCTACAGGGTGCCATTTGAACGCAATTCAGAAAGAGTCAAAGAATTGCGATATAACTATGTGCAAGTGAGTCCCACAATTGACGCACACTCTCAACATTGTATACAGTAAATTATACATATTTCAATATTGTAATCATAATGATTGTGCTTCACAATAGTGACCACTCCATGTCTATTTCTGATATTGTCATGTGTGTTTCAGAGAGTCCTTGAGCTAGAGGTGGCTGCAGTGGAGCACAAGTTCATCTTCATTGATGAGGTTGGGTTCAACCTCACAAAAAGACAAAAGAGGGGAAGGAATGTCATCAGCCAGCGTGCCATTGTTGAAGTCTCTGGCCAGCGCGGAGGGAAC